AGGCTGAACAGCCCCAACTCTCTCAGCCTGTCCTTGTAGGAGAGGTGCTCCAGCCCTCGGATCATCCTCATGGCCTCCTCTGGACTCATTCTAACTGCTCCATGTCTTGCTTGTGTTGGGGGCTCCAGAACTGGACACAGTATTCCAGGTGGGGCCTTACGAGAGCAGAATAGAGGGGGAGAATCACCTCCCTCGACCTGCTGGCCACACTTCTCTTGATGCAGCCCAGGATACGATTATTGGCCTTCTGGGCTGAGAGCACACATTGTCTGCTCATGTTCAGCTTCTCATTCACCACCACTTCCAGGTCCTTCTCTTCTGAGCTCGTCCCAAGCCACTCATCGCCCAGCCTGTATTTATGTTTGGGATTACCCCGACCCAGATGCATGACCTTGTATTTGGCCTTGTTGAAATTCATGAGGTTAGCACAGGCCACCTCTCAAGCCTGTCAAGGTCCCTCTGGATGGCATCCCATCCCTCCAACGTGTCAACTGCACCACACAGCTTGGAGTCGTTGGCAGATTTGCCAAGGGTGCACTCAGTCCCACTGTCCATGTCTCCAACAAAGATATTGAACAGCACCGGCAGCAAAACTGACCCTTGATCTAGCTCCAACCTTTCTGAGAACTGACTTTCCTTGACTTGGTTTCACTGAGCCTTGCTATGATATAGATCTGCTCTAAAACACCACTTCATTCTCTGCACTAATTTCCACTCTAGTTAAACTATCTTTCACTCCCTGTTACTGTACCTAATCTTACTGGTTCAAACCAGCTTTGGTTAGCCTATGTCTCAGTTGTTTTTTCTCACAGAAAGTACTTTTTTCACTTGCAGCTTACAAGAGTTATTATTGATCATTCCAGATAATTCACCTTCTGCAGATACTTGTGACTTTGATACTGAGCATTGGCTTATGCAGAGGAGACCTTTTCTTCCTAAAAGGTCTTTTGATCCAACCAGGTGGCCAGTTTTGCAAGCCGACTTGTAACTCTTCGGTACCCACATACATTTGGAATGACTTGCTTGTTCTAAAGAGGGACTGACTGGCACGCCTGGGACTACAGCAGGGTATATACATAGTCAGAACTAGCGATGTAGCAAGGGAAGGTGAATCCCTCCAAAGGGTATATATGCAGCCTTCCAGAGCACTGTGCCATCAGATGCTGAATGCCTGCAGCATGCAAACTACATGTATGTGTATACACATAAGCAAATATGATATGCAAAACACCAGCTGCAGCAGGGCTAGTTCATAAAACTGAGTTTGGATACATCTTTATCAACTGAGTATCCTCAGTGAAGACTCCAAACAGACCCTAAGAATCAGCTAAGTGAAGAACTTTAAGTGGAATAATAATTTAATATCATTAGATTATTTGAGTAATTAAATAGCCATAAAAAATATTCTGAATATTCCTTCTCTGCTGGGAACCTTTTCCCTCCAAGCATTTGGTTCTGTTCCACAAACTTATTTGCCCCCAATGAGTTATACCAGCAGCTACACTAACTATCCTACTACTTTTTAGAGCTATTTTGTTTAAGCAAGCAGATACTTCAGCGGGATGACAAAAAGTAAAATTATTTTCAAAGGAAAGTCAGTTTCATAGACCAGATTTAGAGACTGTCTGAAAAGAGGTTCTTTCTCATTTGATATTTTATTCATATATGTCTATTTTGTATTTGGTCACAACTAATACTGCTATTGGAGATATTGATGAGTCCCTTATTGCCAGTGCTATTGCAGCCCTAGAAATGGAAGGTCAGTGATTAGCAAAAAGTTGCAAGAAACTGTATTTTCTCAATTTTTGAGATACAGCTTTGTCCAGGAATGGAGACAGCCCATTACTGGTCCTCATCAACTCTTCTAACAAGTGTCAGAATAATCCAGGAGTAAGAAATTTGTATTTGGCTATCATCATACTTGCCAGTTGTTGCATTTAGCCTTCTATTTCTTGAAAAAGTATGTCTTCAAGAGACCTTACATGTACCGGTCTACCAGCCTGCACCAAAACAGTGCAAAAGAGATGTGCTGGAAGGACAGGTTCTCTCTGCCTAACATTGATGATTGCTTTATTGATTTTCCCCCCATTTTTAAGTTGCTGTGTATTGGCAGTAGTAAACTAGAGTTTGAGATCTGTGTGTGTGAATATGTGCAAAATATGGGGCTCTTATTAAAGAGGAATGTTTCCTGAACACACAAAGAGCTCAGGCAATTAAAAGAACAATGTGATTCTGTTTGCATTTTCTGAAGTCAGCAGCAAACTGCCAAATTACCTCAATAAAAACTGAAGCAGATGTTGCAGTTCTAGACATCAAATAGCAAGAGAAGGACTGGTTCACTAGTGCCTTACAGCTTGTGGCATTACTCTGAG